GAAGCAAAATCAAAATATTTTACCGAGAATCTCAAAACTATGGCCAAAATTCTCGATGTGCTGAAACATCCTGCAGCAGGTCAATCCTTTACAAATTTTTAGGGGGGTAAAGATGTATGAGAACTAAATAACGACCTACATACCCCAATTCCTGAAGTTTGCATAACAAAATTGCACCCTGACTTAATTGGGCACTCTAGGTAGCTGTCACAATGGAAGATATTCTTTTTTTGACACTCCGTGCTCTTTGTGTTCTCTCAAGCTATGTCAGGATCCCACTTTATCGTACGATCGAACACGGAGCGTGCTGATGGAGACAAAGTAACGTGACGACAGTTTCATGTAGAAAAATCTATCGCCTTTTTCAAAGCAGCAAGTACCTCGATCAAAACAATTAAGTTTTGTGCCGTTTACAAAGAGCTAATTGACTGCCGGATATCGTACTGATGCAAGGTTGAACTGCGAAATCGATGATGTGTTCTCCCAACGGGCTCACATTGTTGAGGGAGAATGGAACGGAGGTATTAACCTCAATACAATTGTCCTTTTGTCCTTCGGACTCAGTGCGAAGCTCAAATGTATGGAACTTACATTTTCGCGATTGAGTACCGTTGTACTGAACTGTAATGTGGTATCAGATTTGACATCAAAGTTAGATGCCTCAACAAGGACGATCCGTCAGACACTTACGACTATTAGCTTCACACAATGCATCAAGCAGAGCCTTAATTGAATAGATGATAAAACAAACAGGGCATAATCTTCTTCGTTTCGACTTGTCACCAGTTCCTGCAGATCTACGAGAGACCGCACATGGTGGTAAATCGAGCGGCTCTTACCGAATCCCTTTTGATCAGGGTGGATCAAGTTGAGGATTATTTGCTGGAGTCGGTACGACAATGCTTTAGACAGTATCACCGGGATCAGTGCGTACATATAAGTTTTTTATTTATTTAAGCTTAAATTGTTACATCTAATTCGAAGTTGAGGCAGTGTAAAATAATTGGTAATTGAGACAATGTTTGAGTGGCCACCCTCTGTGCGTTTGTAAAAGATGTGGTCCTTACAAGTCAAACTCCTAACTGTGTGGATTGGCGTGAACACCTCATTGCAGCATTCTTCTTAAGGATATCATGGTAAATTAAGCTCAATATTCAGTTACTTTTATAAACCTTTTACGCAGCACGATGGTTCATCATAAGCTTTTAAGCGGACCTTTTTTTAAGGTGTTCCTAAAACCTCTAAAAATTGGACAGAGTTTTATTGCTACAATTTCAGGAAATTAATGGCAGCCAGTCAATTAGCACAACTCTCAAGTACTTACTTAACGATATACCGGTAAATTCAAATTCTCATTTTTTCCCGCTTCTTGCACATTTAATTTTTATGTCCGCCGGTAAATGTCCCCTCGCCAAAAAATCAGCTGCTACCAACTTTGTCAATGATTGCATTTACTGCAAGCTAGGCGAGATACGGCACTATTGGGTATCTAGAGGGCAACTCTAAATCAGATAATAATACGGTGCATCTGTGGGCAACGTCACCTTGTGCAGTGAGCGCTACCTTTATCTCATCAGACAGCTGAAACGATGAAACTAATACGAGGCATTCGCCACCATTTTGATCAGGAAGGGGTTGATCCTGGTGACACGGCATCACCAATTCACTGGCCATTCGTGATACAGCGGTTATAAAGAGACTTTGTCAGCATCACGGTGAAGTACAACACCACCACGTTACGGCGATGAGGAATATAACTATCCGATTTCATGAGAGGTGGCTTTGACAATTGCAGATATCTGTCATAAATCTCATACTCAAGTGACAAAGTATTTTACGCAATTAGAAATGACATTTTTTATGTCGTACTAAATTTCGTTTTAGTAGGTCGAGATGTGCCAGAACGACTACCCGTAACACAGCAATACAAACATCTTTCATCGTCGTCTCTTTTCTATAAATCCATTCAACTAAAAAGTAAACTCATCACGTAAGAATTTGAGACTTTGCTGGCATCTGTTTGCTGTCATAACATCCAGTTAAAATAGCAAACAGCAACTGTTGTCAAACTCTGGCGAAAATGACCATAAACATTTTCGCGGCAATGCGTAATCCCTTTGATGGGAAAAACTTGCCGCAAATAGGAACTTTACCACATAACATAAGAATTGAGACCATAGTGGAGACAATGTTTAGTTTTTTTTGCGGCAATCTGGGAGAAACGGTACGAGCATCTGGTCAATCGAAATTTTGATGCCCAGCAGTTTATCTAGTTTACTATTTGCGAGCAAATCACGTGTACAAGGTTAAGCCTTGATAGCACCTAATATCTGGTAACCCTCGCACAAAGGCAGTTGCTAACTTTCACATATCAATCCAGACTGAGAAATGATATGGCAGAGTGTCAGCGACATGTTCTAACGCCAGCATTGGCTACGGTATGAATATGCTAATTAAACTTGAGTGCTCCAAGTGATCATGTATCGATGCAGAGCTGATTCTCGTTCGGCGATTCCCCGATGTGAATGGCATCTTACTACGATCTGCATCAGATTTTAGAGCATGGAGCAAATCTTTCCAGGCGAATGGCTGGTTCCTGATGAGTTTCGCTAGTATGACCATCATCAAGCACCACCTTATACCAAAACTGGCTTTAGATTTGGGAATGCATAGCTAGCTAGCTATCTATGTATTTGTTCTGCTCCAGCTAAAGTGACATTGGACTTTACTTGATAGTTGTCCGAGGGCACTGGCAAACATGATGATCCTAACTGCCATGCATTATACAAATGTAGCCAGCTTCTTCTTAGAGGCGGTGCGGTTGATTATTTGTATGTATAAGACACTTTAGCTTCGGTATCTATTAATCCTGTTTTAATTAGGATTCGTATTCCGATGGTTGCGACAGGATGGCTGGTCGATCCGATTATGGCTTCTAGAGCTATTTTGACTAAACATCTATCCGGTTTGGTAGTAAGACAGCAACTCAGTTGTCAGGTGATCCATTCACATAATCTACCCACATTATTACGTAGTTGCGCAAACGTGCAAACTCGACTCAGACGCAATGTAAAGTGTATCAATTTGGAAAATGCACGCGAAAGACTTACACGCGTTGGTTCCTAGTAAAGGCTACTCTTGTTATGTTAGATTGGTTGACACTGATCATGTCAAAGTGTAATCGGGATAAAACAGCATTCACTGTGCTTTTATTTGACTTGTCAAGTATTTTGATTTTATTGCGATTCTGTCTGAGGTCTTCTGATACTATAAGCTTTTCATTTCGATATTGATACACGAGTCTTTTGGAATGGCGTACAATTCTGCTTAGTTTTTTCGTAGGCGTCCGTGCCCGCTTAGTTGGCATGATAATTACGCATGACCTGGCGTTTTACTCCAGTGCTATAACTTTTACAATACCATAAGAACATGCAATTATCATACAAAGTGCTGTGCTTGGTACGAAATGATATCGTTTGATTTTTGTACGTCGAGAATGAATAGCAGACTACGTATGGCTTATGAAACTTATACATTGTTCTGTGTTCGGAATATAGACAAGCAGGACTAGACAAGAACGAGCAGCCACGGCGAAAAGCCAGGCGATAAGATCGAGAAATACAGTGTGTACGTGCGAGATGTGGTCCATTCAAATGAGGAACACATGAAGTGGGCGTCTGAAATATCTCTACCGCTTAAGTATATCATAGCAGAAAAATGACAGGGGCAATAGTATATTAAAACATTATTATCATCGCAGACCAAGATACCACTACCGGCCCATGTATGGGAGAGATTGTTTGTTGTCTACACGACTGACGACTCTCGGCATCTTCGGTTCTATCTGAACAGAGTAGGTTTAGTGAGTCAGCAGCTGCAAAGAAAGCAAACAGGTTTAATAGTCAAAGTAACAAACACCCAGACTATATTCAATGCTAAATTTTTATTAATATCGACGCAGAATGGCAAAATTTTGGTAGGATGAGATCGTCGGGTGTACCTGCACTGATCAAGGAAAGTGTATTGATTTCGGTGGCAGAAACCACAGGTTCAAAAACTATTAACGGCATTACTTGATTTGTGGTGGATCGTTTGCTGAAAAATAGAAACTAACGAGTTGCTGATGTGATATCTAGAAAAGAACAAATACAACCATCTCGGTGTAACTCCGACTATAAAACCATAGATGCCAAATCTATTCCGTAACTGTTCTTTAAGTTTGATCAGCTGACGTTCGCAATATTAAGTGGCAAAGATAATGATGTTAATATTCGATGAAATCAAAGTCGCGTATGATGCGTAAATGCTTCTCAATTTCAATTCAAAATTAGCTTTCAATACTGAGATTCCGAAGAAACTTTGTAGACATAAGATACCATTCAAGCTGTCCCTTTTTCAGACTAGTTTATCTGTCAGTAAATTATGATTATAGCACATCAAATTTCTATAAATTGGTGGTACCAGCGATTGTAAAGGGGCGCCAAATCAATTTGCCAGCTATGACAGGCACATTTCCTAATTGGTAGAAAGTGTGGAAGTTTGTTATCCATCAGGCTCGAATTCCAATTCCGTGTAAACAGCATCATCCAATCACACCACAACTTTTTACAACTCACGCATGCGTCAAACATAGTGAGACAATCTATTGGGAGAAAACATTGACTTTTAACTGTTTATTTTGGTAGTTTGGCTTGTGCCTTACTTTTGTAAACGCGTTAGGGGAAATGATAACGTAGGAGCGAAATATTGTTCTGCTATTCCAGCCGTTATATTTAATTATTTGCTTGGGTTGCTTATACCTCCATATGGAGATATAAACAAAAATGTAAACTCTGCGCAAAGCAATGAAGCTCCTTGTCCACCTCGCCATCCTTTACGTATATCAATTATCGTTCTACATGTGTTACTTTTGTATCCGTGGCTGGTATTTAAATAAGCAACCTTTACTTCAACTACCACTAATTCTATGCTGCCCATAAATAATTATCTCGAAATTTCCTCTAAAAGTCTACTTCAGCAAACACCCGCCGACGAGATGTCATGGAAGCCACCATGCCCAATTTATTAGCGGGTGGAATGACCCATTCACGCATACAAAACTTCTGGGTCTTGACAGTTCGTTCACTGCTACTTTGTGTAGGAAAGAGACCTCGACGCTGCTGCATCTCGCCATCTTCCGGTCTCATTTCTTCTATCGATCGTTTACGGTCAACACTTGTAGTGTCCATTGAAGACAATTCAACAATCGACTCGGTGACGAGGAAAGCTGCGACTTGTGGTTGAAAAAACTTGGTGACTAAAGTGACAAATTGGGAACCTATTGGAGATGCGAGCATACCATTATCCTTCGATAACGCGGAAAGACGTGCCACGAGAAATTGCAAAAACATGTTAAGTGTGCTCATCGTCTCTTTCTCCTGAGCACGTAAGTCTCGGATGATCTGTCGAAACGCGTAATTGTTGACAACACTTGCTATCCATTTAGCGAATAAGCTCAACTTATTCTCAACTGGATTGTGTTCGTCTTGACAGCAAGTATATCGCTGAATGTCACGTGCAATGGATTTAAGTGCCTCCCATAATGCAATAAACTCGTCCATAGTCTTGTAAACAAAGTATACGCTACTTGGTGTTGTCGTACACACTTGTACAGCAAACTTTTCATCCTTGCCACCAATGCAAGACGTAATTGTAGCTGATAAGCTGCACATATCCATTGCTTTAATTTCTTGATCTGAAGTAGCCTTTTGGGCTGAATCAAATTGCCTAATGACGACGTTCAGACGCAAAAGTCGAGAGAGGCGTATAATACAGCGACGGGCCATTCAAACCCTAACCTGCTACCGTCTGTCAAGATGATTCTTGGTCGTTTGTGGAACTATTGGGTGTTATTCGTCCAGCAGCAGTGGTTGGCCGTATTCCTCATATGATTTGGGTTCGTGTCCTATGGTCTTTGTTACTAAGACCTGCTCGACTTAGAAATTAATTTCAAGACAATCTGGCGACTTTGCTAGCGGCAAGGCAACTGCAGAGACAGCTGGATGACGGGCAGATCATATTGTCAGGTTTCAAATCCTTATAATTGATTTGACTTGATTCGTTAGAGTGGTAACTGCATAATTGTTGTCGCAAGCATTGATGCGACAACGTGCGCATTTCGAGATTGTTATGGCGCACAAACGTTGGCGATCAAGGTACAAATCAGGGAGTGGCATTATGTCAGTGCAAAAACGCAACAGAACCCACTATTGTGACAGCTTCAAACGACCTGTCCTAACCTGTCCTTTCTTCGAGCACATGTCTGTCAAGATGATATCTTATTATTAGGATGGTCCCATCATACCAGTCAATTCCAACAGATGAAGTATTACTTCAAGTAACATGATGTTAAAAATTTGGTAGAACCCGTTTCAAATTATGCTGTGCTTTACCACTTTCGAGCGTCGTAAATAGTATACAAATCATATGCATAGAGGGTCAAATTTTGACCTTGCAGAAAAATTGGATTCTAGCACGGCGCGTTTCTTACCGACTTCGCTGCTGATCTGCTCCATGAAACTGGGTGTTTGCATCGTATCATTGTATGGACGTCAACATTGAGCTGAGCATCGCATACAGACTACATTTCCAGTGGAAATTTTCCACCACGACGCATGGAAAGGCGGGAGTGTTGAAGTTACGCCAATAGGATGACTTTATTGACTTGAGCTCAGTATTCTGTAGATTTGTGAGAAAGTTAGTGTATGTCCCTTAATAAATGAACAGTTCGCCGTTGACAAAATTCCCTAGTCCCATAATAGTAGATGGAGATCCCATTAATGCTTTGACATTACTCTCCTTCAACATTCGCCACTCATTTCTCAGCGTGCAGACGTCGAGGTCTATCCATACTAAGAGCTATACTGTATCTCTTGTAATATCAATGTATCGGATGCTCAGCAAGAAAAAAAATCAATATTCGTGATATATCACTTGAACAATTTAACAAATTTTATTACTTAATGTCAAGCAAATGATTATAATTATATCATAACGATAATCTCAAGCTGACAGAGCTCGCGGCAAAGTGAGATTTGTTTCGAAACGGCAGTGCGTATAGGTCTCCAGTTTGAGAAGGAGGAATCACCTGTTGTATAAATTCGCCTGAGATGTCAACTTGAAGTTTTCGCGTTAAAGTGACGCATGCCCACGAATCAGAAGCAGAATCCTCGGTCATGGAGCCAAAACAAAAGATGAGGCGAGTATCACAGTGTTTATATTTTCATCTTGATCGCACCGCCGCTTGCACCATTTCTAAGCGTGTAAGTAGACCACAAGCTAAAGATCATCCTTGAAAGCACCTATATTGATCCCAGGTACCACCCTTTAAGTTAGTCGATCAAGCAATCATTGCGAAAAATAGTCAGAAACATGGGTCACTTTTTTATGACCAATACAAAACCCAAAGATCAAAAAACATTTGTATACCTTAAATTTTAGACTGAAATATTCGAGATTTCGCACTATCATTACCGGTTGGATGGTATGGTCACCTTGCGATACTTTCGCCTCAATGCATCATTCGAGTCATATCAATCGATGATTGCTACCGAAGGTTAATCTTAGCTTGAGCTAAAGCGTGACATGAGGTAACAAAACTTAAAGATTATCATTGTTGTAATCAAGTGGTGTGGTATACTAGACATGTCTTCAATCTCGTTTTTTTATTGTACTCATTCGAGCTATCTAATAGACGATTCAAGTCGCATTAGTAAGGGTACAGTCGAATGCACGATACTGCTTAGAGCCGGGTTGATAATTGAGTATTCTAGCACTGTGTAGGACACAAATGCCCATGATTTCTGTGCTGCTGAAAAACGCATGGATTATGCATTGTTTACGGCGAATGAGCACACATGATCACATAATCTACCTCCAAGTTTGACCGATTATTGCTAAGTCGACGCAATTGAACTTGACAGGAGAAATCGATGAAAGGAGTCTATATGTGAGTGATAGACCCTAAGATGATATTTTCTCGTGAAAAGGATTCCCGTGCGAACCCACGGAAATGTTATGGCTCTAAAATAAAACTATTTTCAAAATGCTATTTTTTTACCTTAAATAAAAGCTCAAACATTCAAGGAAAGACGAATATTTTAGACAAAGGGTCTTGATCTATTGTCAGAAACATATTTCTGTGCAAAGAAGCAACTCATTGAATGGGAACAATTTAACGTTATGTCCATCACACAACGTTGTATAACCCTGAATGTATGACAAATTTATAACGTGTACCTACATCAGTGTACCCCTACCTTCACTCGATGAAACGGTTTTGCTCTCATGAATGCGACTTCACGACACCTCCACTTAACTGGTAATGAGACACCGGTAGAAGTATCACATATGGCTGTAGCATACTATACATCATGACCATTTCTGTATAGCGTCAAGCCCTTTGGACGCCGAACTCATTTAAAGCTGTAGCATGATTTTCATCATTATATAAGTGTCCCGGTGTCGCAAGGCGCATGGATATCGTTTCCATCATTTTTAATCTTCAACTTCTTCAGGTAATGTCGATTGATTCTGTCTCGTTCATATTTGCACCACGCACAAGTACAAGAAATCGACACAAACAGCTCACAAACTCGATATTTGAGACCCACATCATATAAATAATGCCGCTCGTTGAGGGCTGGTCTTTGTTAGGCACGACCTACACGATTTGTAATGAACTCAATTCCGGCCCGTTGGCCGTCAGGCGCCTAGTGGGATTTGATAATTCCCCGCAATGGGTTGTCATCCACCTAAACATGAAAAACATTTCGCTCAGCCGGAGGCGAAAGAAGCACCCGAGGTTCAGATAGTTTGTACTACCGTTGACGTAATATCTGCGAGTACTGCGGAGCTGCTTAGCAGCTAAGAACTAGTTCATCCTTATCATAGCTGAGGTCCATCGCCTCTAGCGCGCTCAAGAGACATCATTTCTAGATTCCTGTCTGATTCTGCAGAACGGAAGTCTCACCCCGCATTTGATGCGGCATCCATCGCTTCCTCAGAATGTCTCGGTGCGAGCCCAGCTCGTTCGAATATCATTCATGAAGATGATAACCGTGCCCCTCTCCGGGGGGATTGTTGGAAGCTATGCTACTGATGCATATTGTTCGCCAGATTACGCCATCTAGATGAGGCGAAAAAGTTTCGCGCAATGAGGCTTAGCGAACACGTCGCTGCAAATCTTCCAATGTTAAGATTGCCGTTGCAAAAGCTCTTTGCGCTTTTATGCCATCTTGAGTACGTTTTGATTAATAGCCATCCTATCTTTTCTCAAAAGGACAAAAATTTTCGTTTCAACTCTGTCATCAAAAAGCTGAACAATTTACACTTTTTCTTGCTCAAAGATCCTTCAGTTATCTTGATTGTGTTTGTTTTTGCCGATCCGTACTTAGGTCAAGGCTGAGGCTACTAAGACTCGGATAAGCCAAGTAGTGGGAGTATGGTGGCTTCACTCTCATGATTCAGGGCGACGCTCCACGATGAAAAGAAGTCAGCTGTATGCTGAGGCGTTGGAAGCGCGGTTGAGTTAAACCGTCCTGTTTGCTTAGCGAGGCACGATGCCGAAGCATCCTTAGAACCTCGATCTCAAGTATCTTGACTTCGGTAGCGTGGAAAGATGCTTAGTCTTAGAGTTGGATTCGAGGTATGACCTTATCCGTGATATGGCATAATTGGAGCACTATGATCATGGCTTGATAGGAGGTCGAAGACCTTGGGCGTTTCACGCACGTCTCCTTGTAAAGCTTTGTTGAGTCATAACCCCGCCTCTGCAAGGAAGCAGAAGCGCTGTTGGGGCAAGCACTGGACTGGGACGGTCAATGAACTGGATATCGGAGTATCCAAGTTGTCGAACACCAAAGGTGCTTTGGACAGGAGTCCCGAGCATGGCTCACGGGCTGAACGTGGAGTGACACGTTAGTACAAAGCACTACTAACGTTACAATGCAGTTGCTGCATGCGAAGCGTGGCATGGTCGGCCAAGAGCCGAGGCTTCGAGGGTGAGGCCCCAGCGATGCATGCGAATTCGCATGTAAGCCACACACTGAGCACTGCTCAAGTATCAAAACAAATGTTGCAAGAGTGGCATGGTCGGACGAGGTCCGAGGCATCTTGGGCAAGGCCCTTTAGATGCGCGTGGAGTGGCACGTTCCCCACTGGACGAAGACTGCGGAACTAGCTGCTCTTTGTCGGATGTTGTAAATAGCAGTAAGGCTCCGGTGGAGCAGGAAGTGGGAGTGACACTGAACGACCCTAAATGCGTGTTCAAACTTGTCTCACCAAGCCGTACAAACTATGTGAAGCGGCAACAACGTCTCCATTTGCTAGCTGCAAGACGCCGGGCGTCGACCCTGGCCCAGGATGTTTCAACCGTAGACCTTGTCGACGGTATTACGGGCGGAGGAAGATGGTGACGTCATCCTCAAGGCTATTCCAGCGGTAGATGCTCTACTTAGGCTGGACGAGATGTCTTTCGAAGTGTTCGGCGGTGCCTTGAAGGCAGATGACTTAGCAGAAGTGGTCATTGTACGACCGGAAAAGAAGATCAACTCGTCATCGCACCTGGATGAATCTGTCCTGGAGGACATCAATAGGGTGCTGTGCGCACGAAGTGGGTCTTTAATCCTAAAGAATCCCTCGGATCCGTACTATCCTTTGGTAAAGGAATTCCAAGATGTCGTCTCCAGAGACCCGCCGTTGGTCCTATTTTCGGAGTGAGTTGTGCGTCATGAGATCGACCTGGTTCCGGAAACCAAATACTCCGTAACACGCCAGTGGCCTCTGCTCAAGGAGCAGTGTGATGTCATTAAAGCCTTTTTCCCTGCGAAGCGCGACGCAGGAATGGTACGTAAGAGCAAGTCTTCACATTCGACACCCACATTTGTGTCCGAAAGCCGAACGCTAAGTGTCGTACGATCACGCTCACAATAAGCTAAACGCTGCCACCATTCCGGCGCAGACGCTGATTCCTATAAAGATTATTCTCCAGACCAATATGGCTGGTCGTATAAAGTACAGTGCTTTCGACTTGGTCGATGTCTATTACCAATTGCTCATGGAGAAAAGAATACTCTTCTGGCAAGTGATATTTCGCTCACAGCGGAAACTTCTCCGAGCGGAATGCGCTGGGAGTAGCTGGTGAGTTCCCAAGGGCTGTCAAATGCACAGCAACATTTAATCAAATTGTGACGCAGTTGTTCGGTCCCCACCGGGCGTATGCACAAGCATACTTTGTCGACATCTTCGTCCACAGTCGTACGAGGCACAAGAGAGCAAAAGAGGGAGACCAATCGTCCATTTGAGAGCGGTGCTCGAGTGCATGCACACGAAAAAGCTGTATGCTAGTGCAGATCATTGCATCTTTCTTGCTGAAGTAATTCTTTTCTAAAGCTCTTAATTGGGAAGCGTGGCTTTCGAGCGAATCCCGCTAAGGTCAAGGCCATTGTAGACAAGCCGTTTTAGAGAACCAAAAGAATTTGCATAAGTACCTTGGCTTCGCCAACTACTTGCACAAGTACAGCGCGAATTCTGCGGAAATCGCACGGTCGTTGTCGAATCTCCTTAAGAAAGATGCGAAATGGTGTTGGGACACCGAACATTAGACTGCTTGTGATAGTGTCAAAGACAGCCCCCTTGCTGCACCAATACTGGTGTTGCCACACCCCGATCGGCCTTACAGTGTCGCCTATGACTCTTCAGACTTTGCGATCGGCTGTGCACCGCTGTAAGCAGACGCTGAGGGGCGAGATCGTGTAATCGCGTTCGAATCTCGCCGGCTTAAGGGTGCAACTACCCAGTCCACGACAAGGATTTACTTGCGATGAAGTATGCATTTGTCAAGTGAGGGTGCACTTGCTTGGCTCAAAGTCGCTTGTGATCTACACAAATCATGCGTCACTACACACTGCGACTCGTCGTCCCACCAATCGCAAAGGATAGCTAGGTGGCTCTCCATCTTTGCAGTGAACAACTTCGAGGTTGACCGCAACCAGGAAAGCAGAATGCTTTGGCTGATGCGTAGTCACGCAGACCGGGTTATGAGCTTGCTCATTTCACGACGGTGACGTCGTCAGTGACAGATTTGATCTGCGCCGCATACGCGGGTTATTGTTAATTTGTAGCGCTGCTACATGCTCTCGGGATCAAGAAGTCTGAAAACTCAGACTAGAAGTTGTCGGTGCGATTGCGCGCACAGTTGCACCGATATTCGCTGAATATCGGGCTGCTGTATTATTGCACCGATTTGATGGATACGACACGAATTGCGGTTCTTCAAGACGAGAATTTAAAATATCGCATCCTCTATGATGCCCACGACACCCCATTCAGTGGTCATCTCAATCGTGAGAAGACGTACAGCTCGGTGAGTTGCGAATACTGGTGACCCAAGCTGTACAAGTGGACAAGCACATGTGTGCGCTGTGTGAAACGTGTCAGAGTATAAAACCCTATCTGAATGCAGCAGCGCCGCTGGACAGTTCACCGATACTTTCCGGGTGTTGGTAGTTCATGAGTATGGAATAAGTGTTTGGTCTGCCAAAAACCTCGGCGGGCAACACAGGAGTGGTGATCTTTGTAATCCTATGAGCAAGATGGATCATCTTGCGGCATTACCGGGCACCATCGACGGTGTGGGTCCAGCGACGCTCTTTGTAGATCGCATCTTTTGACATAATGGATTCCCGAAGCCAATTTACTCTGATAGAGCCCCGCAAATATCTGGTCGACTATCTCATCAGCAGACCATCCGCAGACCGATGGTCAAACTGAGCGCGTAAATCACGTTGCTGAAGACGTCCTTCACAGCGTCTGCACTGAGAAGCCAAAGCTCTGGTGCGCCATGCTGCCTCTTGTGAAGCTCGCTCTGAACAATGCAGTGCTTCCATCAACCGTCGACCCGCCGTTCTTCGTGAACGAGCTTGTTGATCCTTGCGTTCCGCTAACGTCGCCATCCCACGGCTCAGGGCTTAGTGAGGGAGGAATAACCAAGCGGCAAGCTGATGTCAGCTCCGTCACTGTTCGTAAGGAAGTCGATGACATGCTGTCTACCAAACTGAGCGTCTTACGACACGACGGCTGAAAGCCAAGACATGCAGAAATAAAATGCAGACGAAAGAATTAGAAGAAATGTTGAGACGTTGATGTCGGAGAGCTGGATTTAATAAGTGCTAAAATCCTTTCTGCACATGCAGTTTCTGCTGTCTTAAAGACGATGCTCCGTCCACAATTTAAGGTCGTGGCCAAGCGAAACCTTGCGAATGCGCTAAACTTCCGAGAAATATGCGCACCACCCGTTATCTATGTGGGCTTGCTTAGCCACTCAAGCTTTTCCGCACAACGGTATGCAATCTCAGCATGATGCACGGCGGAGTGCCGATGACGAAGGACTTTGTCGTCCAGAGCTCGAAGAGCATCGCGAGAAACCGCACAGCGATCGACCAGTCCGCCGCCGACTTTTCTCGATATGAACAATGGCACCCACTTTCAAGTAAAACTCTTTGTGGGATGACGTCGTCGACAGGGTCAAATCCAGTATCTTATGAAGTGGCGGAGATACCTAAATTCCGAGAACTCGTTAGAGTTTGAGGTTTCACTTCGGCAAAACTGCCGAGACGTCGTGTACGCGTATGATCAGAAGGATCATGACGCTCCGTGTTATCGTACGCCCCGCGCTTCTCGGGGAAGCCGAAGGCCGTGAGCTGAGCTTAAGCTTTGGCCCTGAGGTACTGTGGTCGTAGACTCACCCGTGTGAGAAACCATAGAGCTTGCAGGAGCGTCATGGACGATTCCATGTATCGCACAGCGACAATATGCAGAAAGTCGGCGTTGCGCTTTCAGTTTGGCAAACTAAAATTGAAGATGGCGTTTAATGCGCACGTTTACTTCCTTGTGTCTTCGCTGTAAATGAGACAGCGAGTAAATTTTCGGTGCCGCTGCACCCATCGCTCAGAAGCTCTCTATCATCTGCAGCGGTTTGGCAGGGGCGAGCACCATAGGAATATTTCGCATTGCGGGTACCGGGGTGCCTCCTCTTTGAGCGCAAAGTCGAGCGTGGTACCTATTCATTGGTACTTTTCGGGGTACTAAGAGGCTAGCTCAAAGGGCTATTTCGTTGGTCACGCTCAGCTAGTGTAGTGGCCGGGGGCCCGACTACGTAGATGCCGAACGATCGAGAGATAACGTCTTTTGCTTCAGTAGCGGGATCCCCTGAGCGGAAGCCGTATCCCACACGGCCGAACGTGGATACGAGCGCAGGAGAGCCACCCTGTGGTCAGCCTCCTACTGCTGCTCTTGTGTCTCGCCGAGGCGATTGGTCAGGAAACGGACGCGTTGTCCGCAAGGTTCAAGCACGGTTCACGTCGCGCCGTTTGCGCACCTCGCCCTCCTCTTCTTCCCCATCCTGGGAAGGGAGTATTCGACTCGTAGTCGACTTTCTCCTAATCCCCCGACGAGGAAATCCGTCGCCCGTGGCGGGTGGGGTGTGTGGCGCCCGTTTGTCGAGGGCTTGGGATGTGCTACCCGTAAAGCCGCGGACGTACTGTCTGGAGTTGCACCGCGTACAGGAAAGGAAGAAGGGCTCGGCCCGCGGGCGACCTCGAAGCCAGCGAGGCTGGGTGTTTTTCGTGTCTTAGACACAGGGCTCATTGAGCAAGAATGTCGTAGGGACGTAACGGTGTCTCAGACACGCGAGCCTCATAGGTGGAGACAGTCAGTTGTGTTCACAATTCTGATGGGGGGAGTGTAACGCAGTTACATGTACCCTAGTATGAAAGGGTGGGTCACACAAGATGTGTGACCGTAGAAAGTTTGTATTGGTGTGGCTACGCCGTAAGAAGAAGCCACTTCGTGGCGGGACTGTCAGTAATTAAGCATATTTACTATTTAATTAGGAAAACCTAAGGTTTTAGATATAGGCGGCTCTGCCACAAATAAAACAGATAATTACAGTTTCGATTTTGAACGGAAGAGTACATTTGCCTTGGCTTAAGGTCTTGGATACTCTTGGAGATAGCGTTTTGCGATCCGCTACATTCGTACTGGTTCTAGTATTGAGCGTAAGGTCGATGTCCTTGGTAAGCCTCCTCTAAGCAAAGTGCTACGACGGCCCTGCTGCAGTTATGATGGGCAGTATTCTTTGAGCGATTAATCAATGAAGCCGCTATGTTCACTGCTTCCGCACATTTTTTTTCCAAAATGATACTGCTGTTTTCTCCATAATAGTCATTTTCATGCACTTCGTCACCCTAATCTGCTGAGGACTATACGGATCCGGAAAATTGATGCACGATACCGTTCCAACGACGTATGTCTTCAATCGTTCTGTTCACGAATTCTGTTCCGCTGTCGTATCTCAGGCAATTCGAGACGAACTTCTTATTGTTTTTCGTGAAGAGCTTTGAATTTTTTGATCTTATCAACTGCCTCACTCTAGCTCTTGACTTGGGAAATCGCGACATATCGCAAAAAACATTCACAAATTAAGAATACGTTTGCATGTCCCTCGATGGAGTCCACATTAGTTCCATGATATCTGCATGCACACGTTCGAAAACAATGCGGACTTTGTTATCGAACGTGAGGGACTTGCCGCGGCCGTCTGCATACTCTTTGAAAACCCGGCACATATTTTTTCTTTTTTTGTTTGATCATCAAGATGCTTTTGGTGCGGTATTGTATCTTGAGGAAGGCATCCTTATTCAGGTGTCATATGCGAGCATGCCAGAGCTTCCACTGAGTGTCACTCCACATATCATACTTTATTCTGCTCACAGTCAAGCTTGAACGCTTTACCACACTTTGTACCTGATGCAACCGCTCGTTTGTTGCTCCAAATGTCATGCGACAACTGGAGAAACTCCACAGTCGTGCCGCATTCCGCAAGCTTCCAACCGACAACAACCTTTTGCCAAGCACTGAAATGTATAAAACGTCTATCATGCGAATCTTCTTTTCACCCAAACCGGTCAGTTTCACTGTCGTAGTTTTTTTGCCGAGTTACTTTTCGTCATCAGCCTTTTATATGAACAATAAGATGAGGCGTTTAGTACCTCCTTGACGCCACGTCGCGCTTGTTCTTTGCAGTATCGAGCTTTAATGACGATTGGACGATTGTCTGCTTCAGTGATCTGAGATGAAAATCTGTTTGACATGTGAAAGCGACGTGAATTCCCCGTTACTAAATTTTGTGTCCAAGCTCGAACAAGTCATGTCTATATTTTTTCTCTAATGGTGCTCTTCTCGACAGGGCCGAGCCTTCACGCGTCTATACGTCTGAGCCTTTAGCTGACACCCGAGCATACATCGAGCACATAATAAACTATTTGCGATCCTTTTCGACTCCACAGGTCACGAGCTCTCAGGAGTACCGGCAGCGCTTAGAGCAGCAGCATTCGTGTGATTTTATGCTTTATTTGAAACTGTAACTCAGATGCTGGATGCTAGCGAATGTACCGAAGGCTACTGCAAAAGTCTGTCTCGCGGACGTCCTTCCTGTACAGGATCATGTGGGATGTGGCGCCAGCTGAATAGCCAACTTGCTTATAGTCCTTCGCCCAATTCAAATACCGCGTCACCATTGCTAAATGGTTTTCCGGTCGAGATCATGTGACCAGGATGATCACAATTGAATAACTTGCCCCCAAATCCGCTATATTGAGTGGAGGGCCACATTTTCGAACGTTGCCTCGTACACCTTTGAATCTCTCAGCACCCATTTTTCGCGGAACGTAGCCTTTTTTAAGAGAATCTCTAAATTCTTCAGCAGCTTATGCTTGACGGCCTTCGTATTTTCCATAAGGATGAAATCAGATCATGTTCCGATGTCAGACTGCTGAAGTACAACCAGTTGGCGTGACTCGTCAGTGGCTGTCCCATTTTGTGGGGACCAACAACCAGCTCGTCAACAGTTCACGAAACTGTTACCAAAGTCGTGAAGTTTTTCGTGACATCATCAAGCGATTTTGTTATGTCGAGCGGTTGCGAAAATCACGAAGCTTCTGTGGCGCCTGTGGCTGGCGATTCGTAGTCTGATGTTGAATATTAGCACATTGCGTAATGTCACCAGCAACAAATTACGCCTCCGTGATATCGTTATCATCATTTAATGCCATGGCATGCCCCAGAAGGCCAATGGAAATCCAATATGGAGAGTATAGTTTCTTGGAACGGATATGGAAATATATGAATTGCTACCAATTTCAAAAATCAATTACAACTCACAAATACAAAATTGTTTTTGACAGCATTATTTTTTAATTTGATTTCATTCCTTTTCGTTAACAACGACGATCGCTTATTTGCCGAAATAAATGATGTCGTATCATTTTTACAAATTCTGTTGTGCGTTTCCTAGTCCTCTGCTTGTCTTCTTTATAAAAGGGCGACAATGGTGTTGAAGCGAATTCATACAAAAATCACGTAACCTACGTGAATGCGTCAAAAGTGGGTACCAAGGACGCGTTTACGTTTAAGAACAAGTAATAGATATGTTGTGACTTGCCTCATTTCGAACAAATATGTCTGTGATGGGCTCGCTGAAAGGCATCGCACGAGAAGTAGCCTTTGAGTATATTTGATTCAATGACGAAACAAACTTCTTGGACTGGGCAAATTTCGAAATATGCCCTGTCCATGCCATGATATCTTTGTTTGCACTGCAAGATCGAAATCATTTGGTATAAGGCTACTAGTGTCGTCTAAAACGATCCATCTTTAACGCAATCGATAAGATTTAGCTTGGAGTGAATTGCTCTCACAATTTTCTGTTGTAAGATTCTTGATTGAAGTACAAGGAGTAAGAAAATAGACCGATTTTTTGTCTAGAGAATTCCATTTTTAGACAGTTTCCCCAATATTTATTGTCATATAGGGACGAGTCTGTTACCTAATTATGTATCACTGGATCCTAAAGAAAATGTTGATTTACTGGATCTAATGAAATGCACCGAAGCTATAAAATCAAATGCATTAGCTCATATTAACGATCCGTTTTAGACAATAGGCCGCTTATGCTACTGCAGACCAAGCAACACGCCTCCATTGCCACCGTCTTGGTTTGGCAGGTACGTTACATTGCGAGATTTGGCAAGTGTCTCGGCAATCTCGCGAGCGGCATCAATACGCTGCACTTCGATAAAACCAGAGCCGCTTTTAGAAACGGCATCAGATACAAGCCGAGCAGCTTCAGATTCACCCTCGGCTTTGATAACCGCAGCCTGACGCTCTTGTTCAGATCGCATGACCACAAATTTCTGGCGCTCAGCGTCCTGTTGAGCCACTTGCTTCTGCTCAACAGCGCGTGTGAACTCAGGGCCGTACTCGAGGTGAGTAATCGACACATCATCTAGTAACAGAAAGAAATTACGACAGCGATCGTTCATCTCCTTCGCAATTTGCTGCGACACCTGGTTACGACGAGCTAGTAGCTCCACGGCATCGTATTGAGCCACAATAGACTTCAGCACTTCATTGCCCACAGACGGCAAGATACGGTCAGCGTAATCGGCACCATATTCGGCATAGATGTGCGAAAGCTTATCAGCATTTGGTCGATACAAGCAACGGAGCGAGATGTTGACATTTTGTAAATCCTTAGTGCCTGTGCGTGAGCTGATGAGGCGGTAATTCGAACGTACGTCCAAAATTGTCGGGTATTGAAAAAAAGGGATTTTAAAATGTGTGCCTTCGCCAACAGACTTTGCCAAAATACCGTCTTTGCGGTCGAAGATCACTGCACGATGACCGCAGTCCACTACGTAAGGTAATGAAGAGTTATCAGATAAGCGAACTGCCCTTCCATCTTTTTTATCATATAGTTTACATTAGAAAAGTACAAACTTCGAGCTTACCGTCATATATGCACTCTTGAAAGCAAAAACTGCCAAAGCCGACGGTGGCGCCAACGCCGGCAACACGGTTGAGAAAGCGAGCCGCCATGTATATTAGTTGATTCTGTGGCTATGAGAGATCGCTAGAATGACTCGTAGATGTAGCGTGGACCACTTATTCTCTTCAGGTTAATTATATTTACTGGAGATTACAATACAGAGGTATATAGAAGTGTAATTAGTGTAAATTCATCAGTTGTCACTAACTACTTGATTTGGCTATTCATCTCGTGAAGCCGGCCCATGATCTTGCGGATAGCTTGGGCGGGATTCAGCCCCTTAGGACACGTGTGAGTACAGCTCATTATTGTGTGACAGCGGTAAAGTTTGTATGCGTCGTCGAGTGCCCGTAATCGCTCCACCGTATGATTATCCCGCGAATCTTCGATCCACCGGTACGCTTGTAAAAGTGCTGCTGGGCCTAGATACTTGTCTTGAGCCCACCAGTAGCTTGGACACGCCGTGCTACAGCATGCACAAAGTATACACTCGTATAAACCGTGGAGTTTTTTGCGGTCCTCGATCGATTGAAGATATTCTAGATTTCCGCCTTTTGCCTTGGCAGAATGCAACCACGGCTCAATCGATGAAAATTGATCGAAGAAATTGCTGAAATCCGTCACAAGATCACGTACAACAAACATATGTGGCAATGGATAAGTACAAACCATTTTTTGTTTTTCTTGAAATGACTTACACATGCAAGTGCATTTTCGCCATCAATGTTCATCGCACACGAGCCACAGATAGCTTCACGGCATGATCGTCGAAAAGTCAGCGTCGTGTCTTGTTCATTCTTTATCTTAAGAAGAGCATCAAGTACCATTGGTCCACACTCTTTTACATCTACCGGATACGTCAACTCGTATGGTTTCTTCGTCTTTTCAGGATTCCAACGGTAGATTTTAAAATACTTGATACTTTTTGAGTATTCCGCCGTAGCCTGTGAATTCAAGCTATACGAAGAGGATAGAATATGCGAGTTGACGCGTAAAGCTCGCCATATTCTCAATTCAGTGGATCGTAGCATTTTGTTTTCAATAATGAATTTAGTTATCGAAGTATAACGAGCTCGTCAATGCTGATAATAATTACTATAAATTATGTGCTATCAGTTATGACGAGTTACTATTTTTCTACATAGACATCCCAAAAAGAAACAGAATGCCAAGCAATAGCAAGGTGGCCGATATTCTGCACAAGACGGTGACAGGCAGTCTGGCGCTAATTACAGCGTTTGCATTGGTAGACGTCACACGAGGTTTCAGTGTGCTCGTGAAACGCAATATTGATCGACGAGACGCGAATGCGCTAGTGATGGATCAGCAACAGGACCGCAGAGACGTCGATAGCAAGGACTAAAGCAGCTAATCGAAGCCTTGGATCGTATTGAGCTTTTTTGTGGTGCTAGCGCAACTGCACTATAATGAAAAAATATCACATATAGGTCGTTCACTCTTTACCTTAAACGTTTTGTACGCAGCTGTTCAAATGCTTAAGCCCGCCGGTGTTTCATTCCTTTCTACATTTAATGGCAATGTTTGTGCAAAGTATCCTAAAGGTGATCGACATCGACCTGATACTTGCTAAGCATCAAAAACTCGTAGCACTATGTTAAATGTGTTAAACAGTTTGCAAACTTTCACAATCGATGGCCAATCTATTCAATCCTAGTCCTTACTTTTCGTCATCGTTGTATATAAAGCACAAAGCGCTGTAGAGCTTCAAGTCTTGAGTCATGGCTCACAACATCACCATGTTCAAAAGTTTGTAAGCACTTGTACTGAGACCCAAGAAATCTGCATCCATTAAACGACCAGATTTAAAAAATTTTGAACTGCACTACTACAATTTGCTCAGACTTTCTTCCATGACGTGATTTGCCGGTGCTTTCGCAACCTTTTCCAACGCTCGTCGATTCTTCTTTGAGACTGAAAGCATTTGTCGATTTCGCTGCTGCTTCTTTAGTGTCAGCTTGACTGCCTTAGCTTCTTCGTGGGTAAGAAGTAATAGGCGCTCACGCTCTTCACGTTGTTCTGCTGCAATAACAAATCCATTTCTTTGTGTGACTAGGTCCATAGCTCTGATAAACGGTCGAATTTGCACTTGAAAAGGGTCGAGATCCACGGCTTTGGGTAATAGGCACGTAGCAAAAACGATTCGAGTCCATTGAGGTAAATCACTATCATCTCTACCATCGGTTGATATCACTAATGGATCACCAGTCTCGTATTCTGGTACTTTAATGATAAAGTTAAGCTGCACATAACTAAAGATGAGTTGCGGCGTGCTTTTCGAATGTAAAGTTGTCACCGCAAATAGCAAATACTCGCTATTCATGTAACTAGAATCAACACCCTTGCTGTCATTAGAAGGCGTTAAGTTGAAGTCTTCAAGAAGAAAATTTCCATTATCAACTCCATTTCGTGTATCTGTAGCAGGTGCAATACGTTCATCGAGATAAAAGAGACCGCGTGTGGTCGGCAGCAAAAGATGTAAAGATCGATTCAATGTGTCACTTTTCGCACGATAAAGCTCATACAAACACGACACTGAAATTTTAGAGTTCACCCGAAAGGATAGCAGCTAAATCATGAGGAGAAGGTCAACGACGCATCGAAAAATAGCTGACATTAGTGGTAACGACATACCTGACCAATTGGTAGGCTTTTAATGGAAAGCATGATAAGATTTTTAGACCTTGACAGGCAATCATGAAACAGATTAGCTTTTAAGCAAAGGAGGTCAAAAGAGGTACTTACGGCGTTTTCGTCGCTTGACAATTGAAAGGAATGGTCGAGAAAAGATTAAAATCATTCTTCGAACTCCCATTTTGTGGTTGCAATGGCATAACACTAACTTCCCTTTGCAAGGCTTTGTGTCGAGCACGTTTGTCCTTTTCTTCGTGATGCACGTCTTCTATCTTCTTGATTCGTTGAGTGGATTCGAATTTATGTTGTGTTTTTCGAAGAATGGAAACACATCCTGGACATCCTACTGATATGGTTGTTTCCTTGCATGTTGGACAACCAGGTTCATGGTTAATACCATTAGTAATCAAGGGATTGAGAACACGCTTGTTCGCGGCCATTGAAGCTTCATCTTGTCGTTCCTTATCTTGTTGATGAAACTTCGTAGCTCTGAGAGTATTGAAATCCTCATATTCAGACTTGTCAATGACCCCGTCATCATCCAAAGATATTTTGTTAAAGCTAGTAAAAAAGAAGACGGGCGAGATGGAAGTACAATCGTCACATTTCGCCATTATATATCCGTGGCATGCTGGATGAAGAAATTCTGCTTCTATAGAGAACTCTGTAATCCCTTGAAGCTTCAAAAGTCTTGGAGCCTGAGTTGGAGGACAGAGTGCATGTGAATATGATAGAAATACCGGTGAGCTCAACTTTGCTGTGAATTTTCGCACTGAATCATGAAAGTGATAACCTGCAGCAGCAGGATGAGACCGATGAGGTTCAACGACATCACGCTCCATTAATCGATAACCAAGCACTTCATCCAGTCTTTGCTGCTGATACCAAGCGCGACTTGAAATTGTTTCTTTTTGAAATTGTTCTGCTAGTTCATATTGATTTTTAATCAACTCTCTGCGACGCTGAGACTGCTCTTTCATGCGAAGACGATCTCGTTCTTTCTTCTCTAATGGTGTGAGCTTGCATGGCTTTTTCGTCGACACTAATGGCAGCGATACAGTCAGTGAAAGCGAATGGTGTTCTGATGGTATTTGTACAATGGGGTTGGTGCAGCTTGATGAGGACTTTACCTGTTCCATCTCTTCGTAAGAAACTCACAATAATTGTCAAAGTTCAAAGGGAAGTGCATTAAAATGCATGATAACAATGATAGCTAAATATAAATGCTGCAGACATCAGTTTGAAATCGCTCAATTCTCCCACGGCGTGATGGTGAACTCGTCGTAAATATCGCCATTCTTATTGAGCACAAACTGTACGTTCATGTCTTCCGGGCTTGAGGCAATACGAAGGTATCCGTAGTCGTTGACATGGCGAAGACTCCAATTTCCGTATTTTGATGAAAAGTCTTGCGTACCCAGAGGAAAACCAGCCGAGCCCACGACGATATGCACTGTACCTTTTCCATCAGGAACGCACTCTTTACGGTAGAGTGGGCAGCTACGCTCGTAGGCATGTTCATGACCCACCTATTTACACGAAGTTAATGATATTTTTTAGTATATTCTACCACCAAACGAGACCGTTTCAGCGCACCATCATCAAATTGACACGGTGCGTATAGATCAGATCCTCAACTTCCTCTTGAAACTTAAAGGAAACTTTCATGTCAGCTTCAATGTTCATCTGGGTCGTATACTGGCAATTGATTCAAAATGAAGTGAGATCATTAACATAATGTAACTCTGCAAAAGCTTTATAGCAATACCATCATACGATGAGCAGTCAGCACTACCCAGGGAGTGACATTGCGATCGACTTGTTCCAGATCATGCTGTAACCAATTATATTGCTCCGATCCTCGAGTCCAATTGTGTTCAGTTGACATTTGAATGACATGGATGCCACCGTAATTAAAAGAGTACCAATAGATCCAATTCCCTGTCTTTGGGACTTAAGAAATCGCAAACAAGTTAAAAGCTTCTCTTATAGTACCGCACAAACTAGTAAAAGCTCTTTACCATGCCAACGGTAATGCATTGGTACTCCGCACTCTCCTGCCGAATCAATACCGTAATTACCCCAAGACGGATTAAAGCTTCCTCCGTATGGCAGCATGCCACCGCTTAAATCATGCTCTCCACCTCGGTTGTAGTCGTATTCATCTTCAAGCAAATAAAAATAACGTCACATTATTAAAATCACACTGATAATTCCCAAAAAAGTTAAAGCCACTTACGATTTCCAACACTTACCATGTATGGCCTGTCGGTACAAAGAACACGTTAGGCAACAAATCAGAAGACAATTTCTACCAGCTTTTATTGCTGCACGTACAGCCTGGTCGCGTATGGTTCAATCAAGTGAAAAAAATGATCCCAGATGTATCCAACTGATCGCGCATAGCTAATGATGCATCACATAGTATCGATCTTAGACCTGATTAAACATTGCAATATCACAATGTTTTAGCAGTACCTGATATCACCAAAGTGCAACAAAAAAGACTCATATTCTCCTTCCATCACATCAGCGTATACTCTTCCAGCTGTTGATGCTGAGCCAGGCTCGACGTACGCCCCCATGTCGGCATACGCGATAAATTTTGCGTACTTGTCACTCTCTAAAGGCTTTGATTTGAACCGACGCACATGGCTCCACGCGTGCTCTTCTTCGTGACCGTATTGGTAGTAATAGTAAGTTCCCGGTTTTAGATCTGTCATGATCACTGTGTGCATATAACCAGGGTCGCGGAAGGATTTCTGTCCAAGAACATTGGCCGGAGCATGACATCTACAATCAAATCTAATGAGTACATGGATAATACCAAATTTTAACAACAAACTCACAAGTCATCAGCACCGTAAGTTGTTGTCGTTCCTGTAGCATGGAACTTAAGATCCTGAGCATTCTCACCATATTTCACCATAGGAGTTTTCGATGAGCCTGAGTTAAACATTATTGCCATAGCTGAGTCATCATCAGTAAGACTTAAATGACCATGCTTTGGTGTCTCGAATCGCTCTTTCATGCCCACTTCCACCTTTGCAATAGGCTTAAATTTGTCCGTTTTCGTGTCGAAATTGAAGTACACGGCGGTGTAGTTACATCGTAGCATGTAGAGATCAGAAAAGCGAATCGAATGGTCGTTTGCATCAGTCTCTTTTAAGCTTTTTTTCTTAAGAAAATCGTCATCTCCCGTTGTTGGACCACAACTCAATGTCACGTAATCTTGAGAGGTGAGAGGAGAAGTTGTTTTTCCTTCCCAAGAGATCACAAGATCACCGCCATCTTCAATCAATGAAGGATATGCTTTTAACTGAAATTTCTCTCCCTCTTCATCTGGTTTTGTATCTTTATCGTCAAAATAAACGACATTCTTTTGAATCTCAGGGAAAGTGACACCACTTCGCACTGAGAATGTTACAAGCATGCCAGCAACTGCAATTCCACACAGCGCAATACCAGCAAGAAAAACTACTCGTTTTGGTGCATACTCACGTGTCACATTTGACACGTTGGGCGCATAATCCTCAGTCATAAGCGTGTACTTTGCTCCACGATCACGCATCATTTTTAGCAAAGAACCTTGTCAGAAGGATTTCAATAAAATTAGTTTTAATATTATTTGTTATATTCATATTCATGATTGCAAATTTTCGCATTTTTGACAAGATGCGTATTGGAAGCCAAAACCAGTCATTTGGCTTACAAACAATATAAAGATTAAACAGAATGGCAGATCGTCGCGATGAAAAGCCTGCAGACTTTCTACTGCCCGAGACAGTTAAAGGATGGTTTTCGCATTTGTATACGCATCTAATTTCAGGCAACATGGCAGAGATGGCGCGTCTTTATGACCGTGAATTTCATAATTTGACGAATAATTACTTTAAGCAGACTTCATGGCCTGAACCTAGCGCTATCAAATCACTCGTGGATGACGATGCCACCTTCTTGATATTGTACAAGCAAATTTACTTTCGTCATCTCTTTTCGCGTCTTCAGCCTGGAATGGACATGAAGGTGGCATCGTGGGAGACTTACGTGGCAATATTTGACGGTGTTCTAGATGGCACTTTAGATCTTAATGTACTCCCTTCTCAGTGGGTATTTGATATTGTCAATGAATTTGTATATCAGTACCAATCATACTGTCAATTTCGTGCTAAAGTGGCCACGAAAAGCGAGCAGGAAATCGCCTCATACTCTGAGAACCTTTATATATGGGATACAAGCAAGGTGTTTGGCTATTTGCATGCTCTAGTACGTCATTCTAAGATTGTGGAGATTCTTAAAGAAGAGGAGGGTGTTCAGGCGACGTCTGAGGTCGTTAAGGAACTAGGATACTTCAGCCTTATCACGTTGGCCCGCGCTCACGTCCTTTTCGGAGATTACTACACGTCGCTGAAGCTGCTTGAACCCATTGATTTATTCAACAAAAGCTCTCGTGGCGAAGCCAAGACCACGGCCCAGATTCACGAAAAATCTCCTGGGTGCCATGTTTCTGTGTTTTACCACATGGGTTTTGCACAGCTCATGCTTGAGGACTTTGCTGCTGCGATTCGCTCATTCTCGACCATTATTTTGCAGGTGAATCGTAATCGTAATTACTACTCGCGTTTTGCTGACTACGAGCAGCTGCACAAGCTTATGGAGAAAGCAATGGCTTTACTGGCCATTGCACTCTTCTTGTGTCCTGGTCACCGTGTAAACGACCAGATTCACTCGTTGATTCGCGAAAAGTATGGTGACAAGCAGAGTAAACTTCAAAAGGGTGACATCTCAGCTTTGACTGAGCTTTTCGGATTTTCGTGCCCAAAATTTATTTTGCCTGCTGTAGCAACGAAGGGTGAAGCTCCAATCAATCGCAGTTCTGAAGCTTCACAACGACAACAAAAAGCTTTCAACGATATGGTCATCCGCCAGCAGCACATTCCAGCTGTGCGCTCTTACATTAAATTGTATCGCTCTATTGACTTGAAAAAGCTTGCTGCTTTCCGAGGCGTGGATGTAGAGCAGGCACGCGCCGAATTGATGGCCCTTAAGGTTAGCGGCTCGCGTCTCAAATTAGACGTGCACTTTTATTTGAACAACGATCTGGTTCTCATCGATGAAGAGGTGAGCAACCAGCGCACAGGCGAGTTCTTCATCAATCATATTCACAAGTTCGCACGCATTGTTGACGAGTGCGCCGTGAACCAGTAAATCGCTCAATCGAAACTAAAGAAATGTTTTGTATTGTGCTTTGGTTATTTCTTAACGGCTGGCGAAAAGATTGGAAAAGGAGGACAAGGCATAGAGATGAGGGATTAGCAAGTGTCTTGAATGGCTTGTCAGTCTCCATGCGAAATTAGCAACGTGCACGTGGTGAGTTATGTGCTGGTAGCTAAGTCAGGTAGCCAGTAGCAGAATAGCAATCCGAACTGTCTTCATTTGTGACTGTGTGCTTTACCAATTTGTTTATCTGCGCAATTCTGCTGTGAGATGATTCACTTCAGCATTATGTTTTGTAGTCTCCTAGTGATAATGCACGAGCGCTCGAGCTTGAGGCCTTGTTACTAGCAACAACGACACAATAATGTGCTTGCAACATATGAAATTCTTCTAGCTCATCAAAGATCTCAAGTCTTTCGCGTCTGATCACATCAACGCACCAAAATAAAAATAATGGACCAAAGCCAAAAGAAATAGCACCACATGGTCATTTAACGTACCTGACGCGTTCAGATGGATCCAAATAGTGGTAGTAGACCTTGTTCATATCCCAGCACTGAGCCACTTCGTACTTGTTACTAGTAAATCTTGTAATCTGTGCTTCAATCGTTGGATAATCGTAAATACTCAGTAGATTACATCCGCGTGCATCAATGTTCGCCATCATCACCTTTCCAAATGCATCGTTGGGCAAGATTTGCTCGTACAATGCAAAGCTCACATCGTCAAAGAAAGATCGGGCCCAGACTACAAACTGAGTGGAAAACTTGGCTTCCATGTAGATGAGCACGCATTCTGACACAAAAAGCGTCGGAACACTGTGATCGATGCCAGCCATTTCCATTTTAGCTGTTGTAGCGTCCAGATCCCTTAAATCACAAGGAAGAAGGTGGTACCCTGGAACGTTTAGCTCTGTGCAGTTTGAAGAGACTGCAGCCATGAAATCTGTAGGTGTACTAAGCTCTAAAGCTGCCATTAGCGGCTTACGACGCTTAATAGTGCTCACCTTTTGCATGGTCACATCGGGAAAATCGAGCTCAAAGTACTCGCAATTGGCAAGTACCTCAGTGCTTTTTAAGCGAAAAAACATGGTATCAAGGCCTGCACCTAAGATAACTACCTGTTTCTTCGGTTGTTCTGTGGCTAAAAACTTTCGCACGAGCGTCTCAATAACAGCCACACGTGCATAATAGCCACGGTTGATGATAGGCATACGGCGCGACGGCGCCTTCACAAAGAACTGGATAAAAGGGTCAACATAGTATCCCATCTGACAGGCTGAAAGTTTGCATAGCGATGCATCTGACGCTGTGTCGCGCACGGCAACGTCGTGATCGGCGTCACTTGACGGAATACTCGCCATTCTCTAGACGTACGAGCTTAAGCTTGCGTGAAGCATCAATTTTTTACGCCGAATTGATTTAACACAGATAATATATTAGATTTACAGTATAATCTTTTTTATGAAATTTTCTCGCATTGTATGCGAACATTCACTTGGTTATCGTATCTTTTGTGTGAATGTCTCTTTATAGAATTCCAGCTTGCTATTGCCTTTATTATAGAAACTATTGTCTTTATTGTCGAAGTTAACCGCATATCGTTGATTTTGATCGAAGGAGGTGACTATTACTTGATTTTGCTCCAATCCATATCATCTTTCTACTACGATATCTCTATCCGCTTATTGTTTACGTGAACAAGTGGTCGATTACGGCAAGACTGCTGGAATTCAAAATGATGATGACTTAAGGTTATCTATCCGGCTCAAAAAGTTATGTCAATCTCTTGGTATATATATAAAATTTTGACCAGCTCTCAACTCAAAAATCCTGCCTGTTATCAAACACTAGCTGAATAGCTTTATAGCTTAAGCCACAGCTCGACTTTCACTTCTCGTCAATACTATGTGACGTAAAGATTCTCTGCATATTAATCTGATTTTCTGTAGCTTAAATTGCTAACAATGAAAATAGTTTGACCTCGAGAAACTTCTCATGGATGTGATTTGATGGAAGCAACTTTAGGTTGTATGTTTAGGTCCCATAGGCCGAACAAAAGTAAGTCAAGTAGATTTCGACTCAGTGATGCATTCTCCGCTAGTTCTGCGCTAAGTACGAGCTACACTTGTATAAAAAAGCACACTTTCGATAATTTTTTTGCTAGCGCCTAAATTTTGGTTGCCTTCTTGTCCTTCTTGGTCATCTTCGAAATATCACGCTGGCTAGCGTGGTGTGTTGACATGAAGATGGCACTCAGCTCTTTCGCTTCGTGTCTCATGCCAGTTCAAGTATTTATCACTCAATTACCAGGCACCACCCGAAGAACGCGTTCTTCGACGCTCCATGACTGGAAATTTGAGATCTGACGCCATCTCCGGCGGTTCCCCACCCGTACGACGAAAGCCAAAGCCCCGCGTGCCATCTGGTCCAATTGCTTGACGATATATCTGGGTACTGCCGTTAACTGCGATGCCAGGTGGCGGCACTAAGAGATTGCCACCAAGAGTATTTTGTACCGGTGATTGAGACATTCGCGGCGACGATAGGCTCAGCTTGGGGCGCGTGTTAGACGATGACGATCGTGTTCGGAACCCCGTCGGTTGAGACGGAGCGCCAACTGTTGCAGCACGACTCCGCGATTCCCATCGACTTGGCGACGGCGAGAAATAATCCTTCTGTCCATTTCCACTCGATGGTCCAGTAGTCGCACTAGCATTATTGGCTTCACCAGTTAGATTTGCTGGGGGACGAAACTCAAGCTTGACCTTACTGGCATATTTCCGGCCACTCTTTTTGTTCTTTCCCACTGTAAAAGAAACGTAATCTCCTTGTCGAATGTCCACGTTACCGTCTTCATCCGGTATCAGACGAAATGAAATACAAGCCGAATCTTGCCGCGCAGGTGTAATAAGTCCACCAGCTCCACGAATCGAGTAAACCGTACCAGTGTTCACCTTTCCTTCACGAAGATCATCCAGACCTTCTCCGACCGATTCCACGTGCACTGGACGTGTGATTGCTGATGCTGACTTGGCACGACGACGATCTCCTCCTAGTTCGACTGGAAACATCTTCTGTTTTAGCTTATCACAATTCGTGCCATCAAAAAGTACCACCTGCATGCCTGTGCGCCAATTATATTGGTCCGACAACGTCAACACGGCATGCTTGGTCATTTCATCGTCCACAAACTCGATGATCGCGTATGTCTCTCCTGCCGCAATTGGAGGCTTGAGCACGGCATTGCGACCTGTGGTTGTATTCTGCTTGAGCAGACGCAGATATGAAATTTCGCCACATCCTTGAAATGTTTCACGCAGTGTTGCAACAGATGCATCTTCCGGTAGATTGTACGCAATTGCTGTACGGGCCAATTTGCCATGATACGTTTGATTCGGTGCTAATGGTTCTTTCCGACACACCATCGTCTCGTCCTCGTTCAAAATCAATTTAGTCGACAATTCCAAAGCTTTTTTAATCTGATCCATATCTGTCGTAAGCTTTTTCACTCGACCAAATGACGCCAGCAAGTCCAATTTCACATATCCATCCATATTCATATTTTTTAATAAAAATAAGTCACCCAGCAAGTTTTCGTCACAAAAGTAGTACTCCAATTGGTCGCAAATTGTACGAAGAAATGTAGCAGGTAAAGGGACGCATGCGACTTCACTGTCTCCATGAACTGCTTCGGATCTCTCTTCGTTTGATAATTGTAAAGACTGCACGGCTTGACCAATAGCGCCGACGGATATATCGTCACCAGGTAGCGGTGGTACAATGATATTAAGCATCGGAGGTGGTGGACCCTGAGGAAGCGGTGGCTGATGCGGTTGTAAAGGCTGATTCTGATTCTGAAAATGATGTTGTGTAGCAGCTGACACTGACGAGTCATCCGTAAAAGTATTCCAGGCTGGGCCTAAAGCTGATGGATGAATTGGGGCCGAGAACGAGCGGTTTCGACTTGGAATGTAGTACTGTGAAGCCAGTTGAGCCATGACGTCCATCTCGTCTGAGCGATCAGCAGGCAAGCGATTATTATTGCGGCTATAAGGCGAGCGGGCTGAAGACAAGAAATCGTCGGCTGCAAAAGATGGCAGAGGCGTTGGGTTTCCGTTATCTGGATTCGACATTTTTAAATGGCAAAAAGCTTGAGTCCTGAAATAGAATGAAAGACTGAGCAATGAAGTTATTGTATCTGTCAGTCTTATCACATTCTCTCACGATGAAGTGAATGCAATAGGTACCTCTTTCACTGACAGGAAATGTTTGAAAAGGGGGAGATAAGATACGAAACTATGGTGAAATAAAAAGAATAGGCGATTGATTGTTGTTAGCACAGATTTAAAATGACAAGACGAAACAATGACATCTATCACGTCATCACTTACCTCTTGGTTTGATGTTATAGAAGCAGTACGACAAGAAATTCTTGGTCACTTAACACCCTACGTTCTTTGGTACCTTGTACTCTTTCCGTAAAACAAAAAAATGTTTACTCTTGCTCTTGTAATAGCCGGCGAGTTAGCAGTAGACGGTTGGAGCTCAACGCGTGGCAAGTCTCTCAGGAAAGAGAAGGACGACTGCACTTGCGATAGTTGCTTTACTGCAGACTCGACTCGCGTGGTCCGACACTTGACGATGCTCCCGTGGGTGTTGATCTATGTCCCCCTTCCCGCGATCTCGGCTACAACTCGAGCAACCTGCGCGCAACTCCAATCGAATTTACGTTGCTACAACATCTTATTACGTTGCGTTAATGAGAAAAACCATAGTCGAGGTTTTTCGCATTGATTTTGGCCAGAAGTTGGGCGTACCGCGATTGTCGTATGTAGCCAGCCAGCTATCTCTACCTAAAGGATGCTTAAGCCATCTTACTGTATAAGTTGTATAAAGTACCGAACACTAAAATTGAAATCATTGTTGGTATATTGAATTTTTCTTAATATTCAAAAGGACGACTTATGTCCAGAATTAAACTCTGTAATTTAAAAAATTTATAAAATGGTTTTGCACAAAATTTCGCTCGGGATACCTACTGTCAGTCTGATACACACCGTCGTTGTCGAATCGGTCCTTTAACGTCCAGTTGGTACGTTGTTTCGCAGCATCTGCATGGGCCATGTGTAATTTGTCGCTCTTTGTCTTGGACTTTTGAGATTACGTCCTGTTTGACCATCCTCCGAGTAAAAATGGGGCGTTGTTTCTGCGTCGTACAAGCAGAATTACTCAAATGCCCACGCAAAATGTGAGAAGAGGAGGTGCAAACGATATGACATTTTAATCCCAAATTTTATAGCAGAAATGTAGCGGTCTTCGTTCTTGCTTGGAACATCAGAAACGTGAGCATAACGAAAGTTATTGAACAACTGACTTTATAATCCATTTAAGTAAGTGGTGGCAATTTTACATTTTTTACTGATGTCAATTTTTCAGCCCGATCATTCCAAGTCACATCACTTATGGCATTGTTTGAGTTATTCCTACTCGAGTTATTGTTATTTCCAATCTTCATTGCATTCTGTGATAAATATCATAAGCTTACGTCAGTTTTTAAATGAGGTAGAAGCAATGAGAAGGCAGAAATATTGCCATACCTGTTCCTTAAACTTGTTGACAATATAGTCAAGATCGACAATCCTTGTGGCGATAGTCTTGAGCAAATTTTGAACATGTTGTGTGGCATCGATCTCTTTCCCTCGGAATACTGAAAGTTTGTCTCGGAAATTGAGTCGATTGTACAAGTTTGTCACTGTGAGCACGATCTGACCGGATTCTCGGCTTCGGTCGTTGGCAATTCGATCGTTGCGTTGTCTGTCTAGATCTAATCGTAATGCTTCCGAACGAAGAGTTTCGAGCTGTTGTTGCTGCTCGTGGATACTACTGTTTTGAACAAGCACAACGTTTTGCATCTCAGCTTTTACAGTACGAATTCGCTGGCGCAGTTGGTCGGTATCAGTTTCTGCAGATTGAACCTGAGCTGTCAAATCGTTGTTCGTATCCACTAGTGTAGCATGCCGATTAAGGACATCACCAATTTCTTCAAATTCACTGTCGGATATTTCAACAACAGCTTCAAGATACTGTCGATATTTAAGCATTTGATCGCGTTTGCGTTCGAGAGCTTCACGTTCCAGTCCATACTTTTGTAATTGCATTACAAGCTGTTTTTTTCGAGCCTCATTTATTTCTCCACTTCGATGTTCGCTTTTAGACTTTAATTCGGCTCGTGTTCTTTTCATATCATTTTCTTTGATAAACTTTTCAAAACGTGCCACTTGCTCTTTCATTTCAGCTTTCTTACGGTCAAGCTCACGCTGGCGGGCGTCACATGTTTCCATGCGCTGCGAAAACTCTTCTTTCATAAAATCTAAAGCATCGTCGATCTCACGCAATTCTTTTCGCTTCTTAAGTAGCAATGTAGACTGTGACATTTGAGATATGCCCGATACCACAGGTTCCATATCTTTAATTTCACGCAGTGGGTTTTTTCCACTGTAAAGCAAACCTTAAAGTTATCAACAAGCATCAATCATAACATAATGAAAAACTTGATGCGCTTACTTAGCAATGCGTGCTTCCGTAATAAAAATTCCGTGCATATCATCAAAAAAGCTTCCAGCTTCGGACTTTGTGGCCTCCATCCTTCCTCCAAATTAATCAAATACAAAGATATAGTCGAGGTGATTGAACGGCTGCTTAATTGACAACCTCTAGCGGCTCATAGAATGAGAAACGGTGCAGTTGATACTTTGTTATAAATATCAATCACATCGCAGTGTTTCATTGGCTAAAACTCGCTACTCGCTCACACCCATCCAATGGCTTCATCTCAACCTTGAAAACTTCATGGAGCTGGACCAGGCTATCTCGTTATGGCGTGGTCGCCCTGCTGATGCGGCGCTGCTCGGTGCAACGTCCTCTTTGTCAAAGGAAAGTGATCGACTTGTTCTGCTTACATCGACCGAGGATGTGCGCGAGATTAGCGCCTCCACGCGTAAATGTATCAATCACTGGACATTTCGCGCTGGTAGCGCCCACGCACTGTCTGTGGCCGCGACGCGTCACCCGCAATTACGAGTATTTTTTGGGGTGTGTGGTGCACCTGGTATTAGTGCTAGTAAGAAGGCGCGTCAAGTCAGACGCCAGGAAACGAACAAGACAACGGCGTTACCTGTTAATGAAGGTCTCGCGATGTGGCATGAAACGGATCGGGACGTGACGAAATGGCAACGTACGCCGTTGCAGTCCAAGTCAAAGGTATTTTCACTTCTCGTGCATTCGAAACTGAAGGAAGATATTGTCTTGGTATTTCAAGATGGTTCTTTTGTTACGTATGACAAAGATATGAAGAAAGGATTTCATAGTGACGATGTCAAAGATGCCACTTCCGTCGAAGAGGAAGACAAGGATGACGATGATGAGTTTGAAGAAACTGTTGTATGGGCTGATCTAGAAACAGGCAATCTCAGTTCCGTCAAAGGTACATTGTTCCTGTCTATTCTAATGCAAAAGGCAAATGGTCAAAGCGACAAGCGTCTGGAGCTGTTGATTTATCAAATTGTAATTCCATATGATTTTAAACGCCTGGGTGAGACTTTACGCGCTGTTCTCCTTGTACGTCATCGTGTAAACTTGCCAGACAATGAAGAGTTGTCGGCTTGCGCTTTCCACGCTGAAACCTTTTCGTACTCAATGATTGGTCGCTTTGGCTGTTGGCAAACATTGCGTTTTGTTCGAGATGCACTGACAGAGTCATTAACACTCGTGGCTACACAGAATATGCCAGACTTAGTTTCAGCGACGCACGAAGCTTCCGTTCCCGTGCACAAGAAGCGTAAACTGCAGACCATTAGCCCTTCCGTTTCTGGATACTTTGTTAGTCGTGTCGGGAACTACACGTACCTTGTTAGCACGTCGCTTGAGAATCCTCTCGAGTTTACAGGTTGGGACTCAAAATTTGCCGTACCAGTATCGAAAGTGGAGGTTAATTTGGTAAAAGACAATGAAAGAGAAAATGAGGTGGTAGTTGGCCGGAGCTCTAAGGATGGTATTGGCAAGCTTGTCCAGCTCGTAAGCGTCGGTGCCGGTGATGCCGTACTTGCTGTTTATGAGCGTAGTGTCTTTTTGATTCATGTGCGAAATAAACATTCGACATTAGCAAGTGTTATTGGAGCAACGGCATCAAATGCTTCAGTTGGCTCGGAGATAGCTTCAATGCCTGATACTAATATTCAATGGGAAAATGTGAAGGCAACGAATAGTGTGAATAATGACACGCTAGATGCTAAAACGTGGAAGATGAATTTCTGCAGTGAAGATGATAGGGAGAGTCAGCTTCTTGCAGATCTGTCAGATCCACAGGTCACACGTACAGCTGCAGACTTTACGCATCGGTTGGATGAGGCTTTAAACAAGGAAAAGAAGCGAATGGGTGGCAAGGAGGGGGAATACGTGTCGTACCGCTTGTTGCAGACCGTGACACGTCGGTGTTTGAATTCGACAGAACTTGCCCTATGGCAACCGCTCGAAACGATGCTACGCACCAACCGATTGTCATCCCGTACAGAGCCGACACTTCTACCAACCTTGATGAAACACAATCAATTTTCGCTGCTTGAGTGCGCTATAGTGCATCTCGTTGATATCGATGAGCGCTCAATTGTACGACTGATCAAGTACATTATTCACAAGAGCAGCAACTCGACTTTTATCAATTATGTCACTAAGAAGACTCAAACACAGAATAAGTTAGCTGGCCGACTTGATAGCATTGCTGTTTGCGAGAGATTTGTGATTGCACTCTTGGGATTGCCAACGAGTAGTGTGTTTCTTCATCGTGCTATTCGTGAACTGGATGTAGAGGAAGTTCTACTGGTGCTAGCTATCTGCAAGAAGTTGTTGCTGGCGCTAACTATAGTTGACGAAGCTGATAGCAAAGACAAGTTGACTGAAGCTTCAGAGAAGGTTGAAAGTAGCAAGAATGAAATCATGGCGATTCTTAAGGAAGAGCGGCGCTTTACACCGCTACCATCCGCTTCAAAGTGCTGCGCTTGGATTTGTGCGCTATTAGACGCACACTTTTCGAATCTAGTACAGCGTAGCTCTCAGAACGCTAGAGTTGCGCGTACAATTCATCAATTAAACAAGCTAGTGCAGATGCAACTAGATGCTAGTGCACAGTACGAATCAGTGTACGGCGTGCTAAGCAACTTTTTGTCGGGCGTGCGACTGCCACGAGCTCCAGGACTTCCTGACTATGTCATTGAGGAACTTTGTCTTTAAAGACAAAATAGAACGTTTGGTCCTATTTTTGAGATATAATGTCATACATGTCTTCTTCCCTTTCTAATCGCATCGTAGTATTATACAAATAGCAAGAGAAATACTATTACCCTCAAGTAGCAACTATAGTTTGGTGAGGGGCTTTTTATCTTCCAAACCCCAACGGACCAGAAGATCCCTCACCAATTACAAGTGCTGCCAATTACGCAAGGCCAAGCCCTGAGTCAACACATTTAGCTCGAATATAATCTTTGTTTTTATCATCATACCATTCATGGCGCAGCAACATTCAACGATGGACGAAGAGAATTGGAAGGCCTCCCTCAAGCGGCCCGAGAAAGACACGCGCGTGCAAACGGAAGATGTGACGAATGTGAAAGGCAATGAATTTGAAGATTATTTTCTGAAACGAGAATTGTTGATGGGTATTTTTGAAAAGGGCTTTGAGCGTCCATCTCCAATTCAAGAAGAGGCTGTGCCTATTATCCTTGCAGGACGTAATGTTATGGCCCGTGCAAAGAATGGTACTGGCAAGACCGCCGCTTTCATTATACCATGTCTTGAAAAGACAGATACAAACAAAAAGCACATACAAGTGCTTATTCTCATTCCTACACGCGAGTTAGCTCTTCAGACATCAGCGATTGTCAAGGAAATTGGCAAACATATGGGCATTGAATGTATGGTATCTACAGGTGGTACAAGTCTTAAAGATGACATTATGCGTCTTTATCAAACGGTACATATTCTAGTAGGTACTCCGGGTCGAGTCATGGACTTGGCAAACAAGGGTGTAGCTGATCTTAGTCAGTGTTCGACAGTTATTATGGACGAAGCTGACAAATTGTTATCGCCTGAGTTTCAACCGCTGCTTGAGCAGCTTATTAACCACACAGCCAAGGATCGTCAAATTTGTCTCTTTTCAGCCACTTTTCCTGTTACAGTCAAGGCGTTTAAAGATCGATTTGTTGACAATCCTTACGAGATTAATCTTATGGACGAACTCACGTTAAAAGGTGTCTCGCAATTTTATGCGTTTGTAGAAGAACGTCAAAAAGTTCATTGTCTAAACACTCTCTTTTCCAAGCTTGATGTAAATCAATCGATTATCTTTTGCAATTCCGTGAATCGTGTTGAGCTACTGGCTAAGAAAGTCACGGAACTTGGATACTCTTGCTTTTATATTCACGCCAAGATGAATCAAGCGCATCGTAATCGCGTGTTTCACGAATTTCGCAATGGAGCTACAAGGCATTTGGTGTGCTCGGATCTATTTACGCGTGGAATTGATATTCAAACGGTGAACGTTGTGATAAATTTTGACTTTCCAAAAAACTCTGAGACTTATTTACATCGAATTGGTCGCTCGGGGCGGTATGGTCATCTTGGATTGGCTATCAATATGATAACGTATGATGATCGATTCAATCTCTATCGAATTGAACAGGAACTCGGGACGGAAATTCGACCAATTCCGCCAGTGATTGATCGCAATCTTTACTGCAAATAAATGTTTATTACGATTTGATTGTGGTATTAGAAAGGTGAGATTGAAAAGAGAATACAACAACGACGGTACTTGAATGTGATTGTGAAGGTTAATTGAGAACAAAAGAAAGAGACGAGAAAAAGTAGATTCCTGATGCTAGGACCATTGGGGTCGAAGACGAATGGAAGAAAACTGGAATGCAAACCAGCGACTAATGCTGTTTTCTATGCTTAGTTGGTGGATTTGAGATGGTTTCAACATGTGCGGAGAATAAGAGAAAGATTATCAAGCGACTTGATAAGTGCGAAACAAGAATAGGGAAGCAAATGACAAAGAGCAGCGATTGTTGCGAAACAGGGTTGCGCCTTACAGAGGCGAATAAGAACGAAGGCTAGTTTTAGAATTATGCGGCAACCGATCGAGATGAAGGTGTAAGGGAGCGTAGTGGTCCGAATGCTTACAATTCAAGGTGCAGGTCAACGTTGGTGCGCTGATAAGTCAGATTCTAAACGAATAAAAAATCAGCTTTTTCAGGCGGTCAAAGAGACGCAGATTCTGATTGTTGTGTGGTGTTAACTGAATCATTTGATCTAACGAATTGCTATGTTGTTATGCACAATAAGCAGGTGTCACCCCAATTGTTTCGCTAAGTACGTGCATTACACCTTGGGAAGTGTAAGAGTCTCATTTGTAGATGCAATTTTAGCGTTCGCGAATAAAAGATGAGCGTCTTTGGAAAGAATCCGCAATATATTTTCGGGACTACGTAAATAAAGTCGTCGAATATGCTATGAAGTGTAGCCGGGAAAAAATCTGCCTGTCAAATTGTATTGATAATCCTTCCATCAAGACTGGCACAAAGGCGGCGTAATGGGACGCTTCTTTCGGTGGCAAAATGCTAACTCCATATTGATGAATTGTCAGCACATAAAAGCCGGCATAAAGTCGAAGCTTGCGGCAAGATTTTATTCGTGCTAACCCGTTTCTGTATTTTAGATAGACCTAGTGCTCATACACCTTCATCTTGATTCGACCAGGATGTTTTCTTCGGATAGAAAAATGTTCTTCACGCTGAAAGTAGTATCTGAAATCTAAAATAATGAACAGTCTTACTTAAGCGGGCTCATTCGGCGATATTAAGACAAGGACTGGCAGTATAAGCGCGATCTAACTGTTTAGATAAAGCCATGTCTCTATTTGAAAGCGCGAAAACGCAACATGAGGCGTGACCAACTCCACCCACCCTAAAGATAACAAAGTCAATGCATGCTGCCACCAATGTGATAAGAAAAAGCTATTGGTCGGGATAAAGCGGTAGGGCGACAAGTCTTGTGCTAGTATACCCACAAAGGTCATGCTGCAAGTTTCTATGGGGGTATGGCGACGACCACCGTGCAGCGTGAAGTATAATTTGGTCAGATCACAACTGGCTTGAAGCCGAAGCGGGTGTACTTTGAACTTAGCTGCTTTTTGTTTCGTAACTATCATAACTGCGATATAAGCTCGAAAAGCTGGTACGCAATTGATATATCAGCATCAGCTCGATGTCAAGAACATGCTGTGGCGAATGCCGACGAATCACAGACGACTTGGAATAGCTCGATTCAAACTGGAATAGTCAGAATAGAAAAACACATGAGGCCTTCTATGACGGGTTTAAATGCAGCTTTTTATTTCTTGGTCTCAGTGCCATTTAGCATCGTTTGTGAAAGATTGGCAAGGGAACATACCGTGTGGACATAATTTGCACTATACTTTTGGAATTACGTGGCCAAGTCAGAATTGAAGTTCCTTGAGGACATTGACACCTGTTCATCTCATAATGCCTTGATCATTCTAGGATCTACTAGAAGGGTACGCTCTAGATGCGCAGCTGTCAAATATCGCAAACCGTTTATTATAGCGCATGCGCTCCATCATAGTTTGCAAGTGCTCAGTATAGATTTCGGCATCCTTGTGTTCGTTCTTTGTACGCTATGTTGGAATGCGTATATACACGATGAGATAAGTCACCAGACGGGTAAGTGTTGCAGGTGCATTAGCAGCTCAGCTACTCCAAATGGATTCCTTTCAAAGATTGTGACGCAATTTTCAATAATTCACCTGCGTGAGTATTTAGTTGTGTCCATCTCTATGCATAGGGTATACAGTATTGTACAGAGGACATCATACTGAGAGCTCACGCTTTTTGAAAATTTATGTTTGCGTCAACACCTTGGCTGTTCAAATGCTTCTGAGAGCAAGGAAACTAAGCAGCCTGCCAAAAGCCTTTTGACATAGAGCTCAGTGTCATGTGAAGGCATTCATTTTGTCTCAGCAGGCCTGCTTTGTGTATTACACCGTACAAAACATTCATGCAGTCGCGTTACCCGGGGTTGAGGCCATAGACGCGTCATGCTATATGTGACCCAAGAAATGAGGAGAATCGTGTTGCAGTTCGTGGAGGCAAGACTCGCGGCAGCACCCATCTTGTATTCCCTCAACATACTCTATATAGTTTCCTTCAAGCCCTTGAAGATCGCTAATCCATTTATTGATACACTTTCCGCTCGGGTTTCGATTAAGACTCTAGGCACTATCGCTGATGATTGATAACTGTATCGAACAGTCCGATGTCGTGATATAAAGCTGTCGTTATTTCGTGCTCACACCAAAAGCGCTTTTGTTCTCAAGCGAAAGTTAATTCATGACTTACTTTTGTTCCAGCCAAAGAGAAAGGCGTGTAACAATTGTAACAACGTGTGGTTAATGGATTGAGGATCTCCAGCTAGGACGTGACTGAGGTGAGATCGTTTCTCGTTCTCGTCTGACCATTTACACTCAACAAGATCTTTTAAGAAAAAAAGAGTAGGAAGGGCCTGCAGCGGGGCTGTCGTAACTCTCTGCTTAGAGGAATCTTACTGGGGTCACCGACCTTACGGTCTATATTAGAACCAGTACGAGTGTAGCGAATCGCAATTCACTACCTCCATGAGTACCCAAAACCTTAACACAAGGCAAATATGCACTTCCGTTCAAAATTGAAGCTGTATTCATCTGTTATATTTGCGGCAGAGCCGCTTATATCTAAATCCTTAGGTGTTCCTAATTAAATAATAAACCCTGATTAATATGCATAACTACTGGCAGTCCCGTCACGTACTGACTTCTTGTTACGATGTGGCCTCACCATTGTGTGATTACACCGAATTGTGTAACCCACACCTTTGAACGGTCACACCATCTTGTGTGACCCACCCTTTTATACCAGCGTACGTGTAACCCGTCATAGGGCCGCACCAACGCTGCAAATTGTGCGTGTATTTGCGCAAATCGTTGGCCAAGCCTGGCCATTGTCCCATATGATTTGGCATTGACCATTCGTTGCTTGCTTTGACTTCCTCTGGATCGGCACAGACGCATTCTTGCCCACAAAGCAACCCAAGAACGGGAATCTCATGTTCAGTGAAAATGCACTCTACAGGGATGCAAGGAATTTATTCTCTCGCATAACTTAAAACTTGACGAGAACTTTCAAGATGTACATAGATTTATACAGTTAACCCGTTTCCTAAGTGCAAACGAATATGTCGGAGCTCGGTGCATTTGTTTTAAATGGGCGAAGGCGGCTGGCAACTATTCTGCTGGAAGTCGCGGGAAGGTTCTTCACCACTTGTGGCCTCACTTCCCATGTTCCGTGCTTATGAAATCGTGAGAATTAATCGTTTGATCAACATGAGCCTCTGATATCTTATGTAGAGCACTGTCTCGCAGACACGGATATAAATCCACACTTGGTACATTTTATGCATTGCCCTAAATCGTCATCAACTGCAAAAGTAGACCATCGCACAAAATTGTGCGACCGATAAAGGTTTTCCGTGGTTTTAAACAGCCCTTAACATTGAACTTAACTAAATGATTAGCCCCACCTCTCCCTGAAAGCGTCGTTTTTTTACTCTTTTAAGTCCCATCGGCTCCGTCCACAAATTTACAAAATATTCTTGCACAGCACCCGACGAAATTTAATTTTCATAGAAGAGGGTTATGTTAAGTCCAGCTCTAATTGGGTGTTCGAATTTAAAATTGCCTAATTAAGAGCTGATGCGCAGGCGTGTTTGAGTGGTTTGTAGGATATGCGGATAATTGGTGTAACTCAACTGCATCATTCTTTTTCTAGACAGCTTTGCTGAGATCCCCGCCACTGGCTTGTTTACACGACTACCACCTCTTGCCCTCCAATCAAATCCTGCAAATCAAACTTTGTGTTCCACCTCTTATGTGATGTTCATCGCTTCTATGAACTTATCGGGTGAACACGAAAGGTCTCGGTGCAAGCCGCATTTCCTCGACACTTCCGTAGTTATAATCGGAAATGGTCAGTCTACATAATATTTCTAAGAGTAAACAACCATTGGACAGATTCCAACAAAAATGTTTTCTTGACGGGTGAGAAAAGTTAGACTTTCGGCAGTCAGGGGTGCAGAACTTGCGACATCTGACATTTGAGCTCTTCCCACATAATAAAGCCTCATTTCTCGATCTATTTAGACACTACATAAATAGCAGAAAAAGCCTGAAGGCTTTTTGCATTGTATGCAGTGTCGGTATTAGCGCTCGGCTGCTAGATATTTTAACAGTGGGAGACTGCTAAGAAATATCCTCAAAATTGGGACAGGATATAGTCGTTATGACTTATGCACTTGCTGAATTCCAAGAACGCATATTGGCGAACCACTATGATTTACCACGTGTTGCTGTGAGCCACAGCCAAATTATCGCACCTGTCGCTTGACGATTGTCATTCTTGCAGTCAATCCAGGATAGAATGTGCTAGGTCGTTAACCCGTTATACTCGAAAAAACGGAAAGATTCAACTCAAGTACAATGTTGTCCTGGACGCGCCCAAGATATCAATGTGGTTGTGATAAACGAACATGACACGCACCGTTACATTCTTCTTTCATGCGGTGTGTTGTGATAAACAACCCATCAAGTCAAGATCTCGTAGCTCAATTTTTTATCAAATTTCAGAGAGAATTTTTTAGTCTAAGTCCAAGCCACGACCATCATTTCTGGTTAGTTAATACATGATGCCCTTATTGGTGGAGAGCATAGCCACAAGCATAGTTTATTTTTACTTTACCGTCATTCCTTCTGCCTCTATGCAAAAGTGATACGACAATAGATTCGATCCCGAAATTCTTACCATCATTGAAGCCGTCTCCTACCTTTAAGATCCCTTTTATCCCACACAAATCGGCAAGAAATATAGCAGTCTATTATTCTCATTCACGTCTTCGGTTTTCCGAGTGATTCGAACGGAGACGATGGTAGCATGATAAATTGTTCATTGTCTGTATCATTTTGGAGAGACAATCAACAAAATCCATGACAGTATCTAGTCCATTCAAGCCTTCTAAAAACATAGTCCACATATGCTTTGATCAAAAGCTTCTTTGTCTCCATAATGTCCCGAAGCATCCAATAACCCAGACCATGACACACGATTTGCAATTGTTTTGGCGATCAATGTTCAGGTTGCTCGATGCCGAGTTTCAGATGCCATCTGCCTACTCAGAGACTGCCGGGCACGCAGATTGGGCCACTTGCGTCCTTCAGATATTTTATGTAGCTTTGCCATAAGGGGGCCAGCAAGCTCTTTCAACGCGCTGAATTAATTAGTGCACAAGACCGCTGGCATGAGATCATTTGTTAAATCATAAATTTTATCCGTGCGTGCTTTTAACGTAATTCTGTATCCGGGTAATCGTAAGTGGAAGAAAAGTATCGAAACTCATCCCGAAGAGACTACAATCATACTAGATAGATTACATTGGACGATTGGGGCCATGTATGATGTTTATTCTGCGATACTTCTCGACAAGACTTTGAGTACGCTAATTAACAATAATATTGTTTGCAAAGTTGTGCTGCATCACGCCAGGCACAAAAATCTCCACGGAATTTTGTTTGAGATTGAACCGACATTAGCAGAACTGAGTGAGCCGCGCTCAAAAGGTTGATCCTCATATCGACGTCATACTTTTTGCTTTTGTCCAATCTTCCTAAATCTGGATGATCGCTTTTCCCAGCCGACTAAATTGCTTTAGCAAGTCGTGAAGCTGTTGTGTTTGGACCGTTCGTTCTTAATGGCATCCACAAATAATGGACTATGCTGGTGATAGTGGTTGAGCAATAGTCTTCATTGTCGATTACGATGATTCACTATCGTGAGTGGTAATACGTAAGAAAGAACAAAAGGATTGATCCTATCGTATGCATTGGTTTGGTTATTCGAGCGATCAAGAAACGTGGGAGCACATTACAACCTTATCTCTTGATAAATCAATCTTTGAACGGCAGAACTAGGACCATAGGAAGGCGCGTTCACGTCGCAGCTAGACTGGTTGCATGATGGCAATAACCCAGCATTCCGTGACTCACGTCCAGTCATTAAAAGCATTTTTTCCGTCCTTGCTGATCTGGGCGCTGATTTTTCAACTTATAGAAATTTTGTCAAGATTTGATTACATCAACATGATCTCATTTTATCGCCGAAAAAGAATGTATTGCCATACGGGATGGAAAACAGTTTCGCATCAGTGATGTTATCACTTTGAAAAACTGGTCCACGGAGAGAATGATCAGCACTTTTTTCATGGGTCGATGTTGTTGCAGTCGGAAATGATCGATGTTTGCGGGGCTTGCGATTGTGTGATTTTTTGTCGTTCCGTGTGAAGAATTCGTGAAAATGTTGAAGGATACGTCGGCCCCGATGCTCATTTAAAGCTTATTGAGTAGCTACATCGTTTAATTTAATTGTTAGGACTGGAGAATGCTCCGTACAAAGCACGGAAGGAAGCATTATTGACGCCACATACTGTCCTGGGTAAGGTCATTGCTATGGAGCGCAATATTTGGCTACGGGAACCAAGTCAATTTCGTGACAGCTTTCTACTTGATACTCGGATGTGCGGCGAGCTTTTCGTCACCACGTCGTGCTATAAAAGATAGAAATGATCCGAAGTCTTCGTGGAGATTGTTATCTTACTCCTTGCACTCAGTGCTTCTCAATGACAGATTCATCCACGACAGATGACGATCCCAGCTCTTCTGGTGTCAACCAATCCGTTTCGGCGACTTCATCGCCTTGCAATCACTAACACATAGTTCCTTAATAATAGTTTCTTCAGCTCTGTAAGAGCGTCTGAAAGAAGTAGCGATAGCAGACTTACAACTCCGAGGATAACCCCAGTCACTAATTCACGAGAAATTGTGTCTCCGGCCAATAACATTTGCTCGCCGCGCTAGCGAATTTGAAGCTAGGGGCTGTTTCTGAGGAGTATAGATCTGCTACACGTAGATTTCCACACTCGGCAAAAAAATTCTGTCGAACGGCACATAGCAAAATGTGCATGTGATAATACATGCAGCCATAATCCCGGCACAAACGCCAATTCCTAGTAAACGATATTTGCCCTAGAGGACTGCACACTGTTAATTGCCCTTAAATTTGACATATATGATTGTCAATAGTCACAGAACACAATAATCGGATATGGAAACCACATTGAATAGTTGGGAGCGGTAGTACTTAATGCGCGTTTATAAGCTATATGCTAATATGTAAATGTGTGTCTTTGGCGCCGGTAACATTAAATTTTTGGGTTGCTTTATCGGGAAGCAAGACTTCGAGCAGGTCTCGCGAAGAGAAATCCCATAGTAGATTGACCACTTTCTCAGTCGTAAAAATTCGTGAGGAAGTGCTTAGCCTAGCCAACTTCTTGCGCAAGTAAAGTCCCAATTATGCCGACTGTAGTGTTTGGCAGATTCAGAAGTGAGCTTTATTGTTTTGGTTAACTGAAATGAATG